TTTTGTTTCCAACGGTTTTGGCGAGTTTCGCGTCAAGGAAACAGAAATTCAGTTTGGAGTTTCTCAGCGATTTTTCGAAAATTGAGAGAGTGATTGGGTACAGTTTTGTTCAAATTTCCCAAAAACTGAAAAATATAGTAAATTCATGATTTCGCATTTTTCAATAACGGAATCTAAATAAGAGTGCAGAAAGTTTCAATTTTGAGGCATTCTTTGAACATTTTTGCCACAGACTTAGTCAATCTTTCCCAATTGGACTTTGAGTCAAACGCGCTAAAATTGAAAGCGATAAACAACTCGTTTTTCGAGAATTTCACAAAATTGATGACTCTTTAGTGCGATTTTCGAAATTGGCAAGTTTTGTTTCCAGAGGTTTTGGCGAGTTTTGCGTCAAGGAAACAGAAATTCAGTTGGGAGTTTATCAGCGATTTTTAGAAAATTGAGTGACTGGGTAAAGTTTTGTTCAAATTTTTCAAAAACTGAAAAATATAGCAAATTTATGTTTTCGCATTTTTCAAGAACGGAATCTAAATAAAAGTGCAGAAAGTTTCAATTTTGAGGCATTCTTTGAACATTTTTGCTACAGACTTAGTCGATCTTTCCTTCCCATTTGGACTTTTGGACAGAGTCAAACGCTCTAAAATTGAAAGCGATGAACAACTCGTTTTTCGGTATTTTTCGATAATTTAACAAAACTGGTGACTTTTTAGTACGATTTTCCAAATTTTGAATTAATTTCTTTGATTTAATTTTTTTGAATTAGTTTGGTGTTAAGGAAATCGAACTGTGCAAGCGAAGGCGACAAAGCATATATTTTACTAGTTCAGAAAGCTTTAACGTAGGATTTCTTAATCGTTGTGAAAGTACTTGCTCTGAAACGACAAGAAATTGAAATAAAACCTCCTTCTCATGGACATTTGATTTCCCCAAAATCGAAGGCGATAACAAGTTGTTATTCACTAACTTTTAAAGATGACCGCAATAAAACCGAGCTAGATGATAAAGCCGAAACAGGCTAATAAAAATTAATGAAAACGCTAAAACGATATTTCCCTGGTTCCATTCCGTTCGTAATATTTTTTCTTAGCTTCTACTCAGCTAATCCTGAAAGTAACATCAAGCAATCAGGGCTAAAAACTTAATGGCAATTAAAGCCCACCCTGTCCTCCATGTGTGTGAATGGTAAATAAAAGATGAGAAACGCTATTCCAATACTAATATACCCACTAAAAATTGGTGTCACATACAGGTGCACTGTCAGCAGCATTATTTATTAATTCATTTGCTATAATACTGGCGTCGTCTATACTCGCTTTATTGTTAATGAAGGGAAATGGATATGACTTATATTTACATCCATATTTTATGCTGCGGCCTAATGACTTTTGCAGCCAACGACTACTATAATATTAGCTTAAAACACTGTTTCGTTGTATAGAATTGAATATTCTTTGTAAACGCGTGAAGATCTCCTAGAAACAATCCGAGGAAAAACGAATGCGAAACAAGAACCGTTGAGGTGCAGTGTGTCGCCAAATGCAATTTACATATTTACTGGTATTTTACTCATGAATCAAGATGAACCTGTTTCAAGTCATTAGCAAAGTGAAATTTGCATCAGCTTTAATAACGCATGCATTCAACCACAGTTCCAGATTCCAGAGTTGCATTCTGGATTTAACGGGAAACAGTTATCCCTATTGGCTCCCATTAGTTTGACATGCAGTTTTAATTAGAGTGATGGCTAGTCATGTCCAAACTTCTCTGGTTCTCAAAATTGGATTAAGAGAACAGAAGTACTCGAAGTGAAAATGCCTAAAATACAGTTCCTGGCTGGGTAGATAGAGATTGTTCAAGTTTTTCTTTGCGAATTAGTTCAGGTTTTACTTGTTTTTGAACGGTTTTAAGACTTGTGTCTTAACTGCCTTTTTAGTTTTATTATAATTGTTTTATTATGAGTTCGACTACCGGCCAGTTTATTAATTTCACTTTTTGTTCCTGCTGTTTAAAGCAACTATTTCGTGTTTCACTGTTAATTTCATTAGTGAGCATCCAAAATTAATCCAGTTTATTTTCGTCCGTTCAAAAGACAAACCCATTTGAAAGGAGCTAATAAATGGGTATCTTCAATAGGAGTGAAGTCACGTATCTAAAGAGATAAAAATTCAAAGGATTTAAATCAGGCGAAAAAGGAGGTCAAGCCGCAGCATCCTCTGCGCCAAACCAGTGATATGGAAAAAACATTCTTTAAACCAAAAAGGGCTCGTTTTATCGGTGCCAAACCAGAGTAGCTTTTTTCAGCTGAATTTTCAAGATATTTAAAAATTATTTTCTTGTGCCTTATCATGCAGGGTGTGAACAATGAGTATTTATGTTTACTATAGATAGAATTACTTACTATAGAATATAAATAGAATTTTGTTGTGTTAGATAGAAAAAAAGTAACATGAAAACGGCACAATCTGTGCTTTAACGTTCGCAAACTGCTAAATTTACTTGGGAACTGGAAAGACAAGAATCGTACGCTTTCATATTGCCTAAAAAAAATTTGACTGACCTAAAAAACATTATTTCACTCAATTTTTGTACTATATATATAATATATAATATATAATACAAGTATTATTTTGTGCCAAAAATAGTATTATTTTACAAAAAAATGGGCGTTTTGGGAACTAGGAAGCTCAGAATGCGACATTTTTATATTGCGTTTTTTTAATACAGTTCATATTTTTGACCAAAAATTGAGTATTTTGCGCACTAGAAAGCTCAGAATTGCGTATTGCCTTTTTCCATAAATTTCATATTTTTGATCAAAAAGAATTTTCTTTTTCAATTTTCTTTTAAAATAACATTTTTTTTGTACAGTTTTTGACACCATAATTTGGGAAATAGAAAGCTCAGAATTGCGTCGTTTTCATATTGCTTTTCTTCAAAACTTATTTTTTGACCCAAAAAAATCTTTCACGCATTTTTTTTTGTAAATCTATTTTTTCTGCACAAAATAAAATAATGTTCAGCCAATGACATCCAAAATAGTAATTTTCGAATATTCACTTAAAACTCCGTTTCGTTTTCCTCGCTCGTTAATCCGAGGAAAAATTTTAGTTTTATTGTGTTTGTTTCATTATCAGATCGAGTACTGCCTGATTTATTAGTTTCACTTTCTGATTCTGCTGCTTAAATCGACTATTACTTGTTTTACTGCCAACTCCATTTTGTGTCTAGTGCAAAATGAACGCATTTTAATTATTTTGCAAGTCCGTTAAAAATACATTTAAAACGCCCTAATAAATTAACATTTTCAACAAGAGTGAAGTTAACCAAACTTCTCACGCATCTCAAGAGATAAAAATCAAATGGACATAAATCAGGAGAAAATGGAGATCAAGCCACGGAATCGTCTCCGCTGGAACAGTGATATGGAAAACATTGTTTCAACCAAAAAGGGTTCATTTGATTGGTGTCAAACAAGAGTTTTTTTTTTAAACACAATAGACATTTTTCTGTTTTATATATGATCTGAGATTTCCTTGTGTGAATCAAACTTTCCGATTTTTTCTAGCTAAGCTCAACAGACATCAAACGGCAAAAGAAATAATCAAACGTGACTGTCGTCTGAAGTCGAAAATAGCATATTAAATCACAAGTTTTATAAAACGCCGTTTTGTAATTGATGGCACTGTTCCTCAAGCCTTGTAAAGCATGCACTTTGTGCTTTTCTTCTTTTGGTTAAATTTGATATTAAAACACTTTTGACAAAAACATGCAAATCTGCCACTTTTTGTCTTTGTTATTTAAAGATGATAATCCTGAAAATTCTCGTGCTTCATCAGCAAACGTCGCATTTGGCTGCATGATTTTTTTAAATATTGGCCCGAAGAAAAGTGGAACCCAATAAACCTTTTCCAATCCTCACTGGAAATCGAACATATATATCTACTTGTAAAAGTACAATACGCCCAAAACCTAACAGAATACTTTACAGAAGATAGAAGCAAGCCAGACAGATACAAAAAGAATTAAAACTTAATGTAACTTTGAAGAATAAAAAACATATTTGAATTAACAAACAAGTTCCTCAGAGCGTGTCGACATAAATACCGAAAAAATAGTGAAACAAATACTTGCAATAAGTAAAAACGCCAAACTCAACAAATTTATAACTGATGCCCTTTAGATACGATTTTCAGCACATATTCAGTAAATTTTTGAAAATATTAATATACTAAAGCAGTCAAAAATGGAACGTTTCAAATCGATGTTCTCAGGCGTTTTCTTGCAAATTTCAGATACACACCAACTTTACTGCAAATTTTACAAGTCAGCAGAAATCTGCTCTGATTTTTCTGCATTTCTACTGAAAGATTTGACTTGATGCAAAATGGAGCAACTTTACAGGAGTTTTAAAATGTTGCCATTCAATGCCAATGAGGTCCACATGCAAACCAGAAATAAGCTGCAGGAAAATACATTTCTGAGCAATTCTGATTGAACTACCCTGTATATATTTGACGTTCCTATCACGGCTTGTTCTCAAAACGGGAAATTAATGATTATGAATGAAACCGATCGGGAAATAAAACTGGGACTCAAACAATGCAAATATAAATACATCGACAAACCGGTTTTAGATGATGTTGGTCATTTGTTCGTGTGAACATATCCGCCCACACGATTATGTCAACAATAAAGTTAGATGAACCGTCGATTTATAAATAATTTGCATTTAAAAATAAAACTTCTGTGTGAAAACCATCTGTTTTTGCATGTTCTAATTGAGCCGCTCTTCACTAGTGGGTCTATAGCAGTGCTGTTCGTGAGTGTGAGGTCAGTGTGAACACTTTCAGTCGTTCATTATCGCCGACGACGAAAATCGTCAAGAATACTATACAAACACTCCAAGAAATGAGTAAAAATCGATGTTACCTCATGTCATAAAAGACCCCGGAATCTTTGTGTTCCGGGGCTGTTGGCGGTGCGATTTGAAAGAGACTCACCTTGATTCGGTCTAAAGTTCCGACAAAAACGACAATAACATAGACAAATGTCGCTGAACGCAACATTTTTATAGTTTTTCACTAAGAAACACACACCGCACCGAACCGAACTCTCCTGGGTAGAAACGCAACTATAACTGCTCCACCTACCGTTGGCGGAAACCGCATGCGCCCGGAATGTGAGTCATCCGAAACTCTAGCGCTGTCCTCTTCCGACTCACCGCATTGAACCAAGAGCGAAAACGACGAGAATCCGGACGACGGAGTTGAGCCTACGTTGCAACGACCGGCCGAGAAAGTGCGCCTTTCTGCATTCGAGTCGTCTTTGGAGTTGGATAGACGATAATCTGATAAGAATTTGATTGGGTTTGCTCTTATCATTTTGTCCACCTATAATTGGTGATTAATCACATCGTGGGTTTGCTCTGATTACACTGATAAGGGGCGAGAATTTTCGGTTGAATTCGCTGTCTTCGGACTTTCAGCGCAATGACAAATTAACACACTTGCGAAAAAAATGCGATTTCTTCCGAAAGCCATGAGCGTAACAACATGAATGTTATTAAGACTAGTAAAAAGACCCCAATAATGGATATAATGGTGTTTTGTGCCAACAATTTGAAATTTATTGACAAAAAGCATTATGAAAATGGCGCAATTTGAGGTTTCCAGTTCCGAATTGCTCAATTTTCTCGCACACTTAAGAACTGGAAAATGCTTTTTAATTTCATACTTTTGACCCAAAAAACGAATATCTTATACAATTTTCTAGAAGAAGGAAATAAATTAGTATTTTGCACCAATTAGGTATATAAAAAAATGTGCAATTATATATTTTTGACAAAAAAAACATTTTTTTACTCAATTTGGGAACTAGAAAGCTTTTTTCGCGCATTTTTCATATTTCATTTCCCAATAAAATTCATATTTTTGACCCAAGAAAAACCATTCTCTCAATTTTCTTCTGAAATAATATTATCTTTGACACAAAATAATATTTTTTGACCAAAAAATTGAGTAGTTTGCCAACTAGAAAGCTCAGAATTGCGCCGTTTTCATAGGCATAGGTTTTGCTTAATTTTCTTGAAAATGAATTTTATTCTTGGTATAAAATAATTTTTTAACAAGTAAATTGAGCAATTTGGGAACCAGAAAGCTGCTTTTTTAAAGATAAATTTCATATTTTTAACCCAATAAGGGTTTTTTCTTCTGCTCAAATTATTGTTAAATAATATTTTTTGCCAAGAAAATTTAGGAACCACAGAGCTCCATTTTCAAATGGCGTTTCTTCAATAAATTTCATATTTTTGACCCAGAAAAACATTCTTTTACTCAATTTTCTTGTAAAATAATAATTTTTTTGGCACAAAAGAATAGTCCTTGGCAAGAAAATCTTTTTTCAATTTTTTTTCAGCCAAAAAACCCGATTTTTTTTCCTAAAGTTTTTTGCCAAATATTTTTTTTGCAAAAGATAGGTAATTTTCCTTTTCAAGAAAATTGAGAAATTTTTAAACTCAAAAGCTTAGAATTGCGTCGATTTTCAATTGTTTTTATTGATAAATTGACTAATTTTGGAACTAGAAAGCTCAGAACTGAGCAGGATTTCATATTGCTTTCTTTCAAAATATTTGATACTTCTGACCCAAAAAACATTATTTTACGCATTTTTCGGTAAATCTATTTTTTACACAAAATAATATTCTTTTGAGTCCACTTTTGACTCAGTTTGACTTCCAATAGTTCAGTAATTTTTGAATACTCACTTAAAGCTCCGTTTCGTTTTCTTGCGTTGAATGTTCTTTAAATCAGTCTTTAATCTGAGGAAAAATAGTTTAGTTTTTTTATCAGTTCGACTACTGCCTGATTTATTCATTTCACCTTATGATTCTCCTGGTTAAAGCGACCTTTACGCGTTTTACTGCTAATTTATTTGTGTGTCTCTCGTGCAAAATAAATACATTTTAACTATTTTGCAAGTCCGTTAAAAACGCACATTTAAAAGACTCTAATAAATAAACATTTTTTTGTTCAATTTTCTTAAAAATAAATTTTATTTGCGGCACAAAATAATATTCTTGTACAAGTAAATTGAGCAATCTAGTTCCCAAAACTAGACGCTCACAGTTGCACCGATTTAAAACTTCTTTCTTAAAAACAAATTTTTAATTTTTGACCGAAAAAAATTTTCTTTTGCTGAATTTTCTTGAAAATATATTTTACAGGGCAGAAAGACCAATTGGGTCGATAGCCTTTTTCTATAAGAAATAAAGATTATTTATATATATATACATATATATAAATTTTACATTTGCGTAAAATAATTGTCTTTTACAAGTAAATTGACTAATTTCGGAACTAGAAAACTCAGAATTGCGCCCATTTCAAATTGCTTTTTTAAAGATAATTTTTATGTTTTGAACCCAAAAAAACATTCTTTTGCACAAATTCTTGATAAATGATATGTTTTTTTGCCAAGAAAATTTAAGCAATATGAGAACCATAAAGTTCCGTTTTTCATATGGCGTTTTCTCAATAAATTTCATATTTTTGACCCAAGAAAACATCCTTTTACTCAATTTTTCTTCAAGATTGCATGGTTTTCATATCGCCTTTTTTCAATAAACTCCATATTTATGACAGAAAAAAACATTATTTTATTCAATTTTCTAGTAGAGAAAATTATTTACACAATATAAGTAATATTATTTTGCAAGAAAAGTGAGAAATTTGGAAACAAGACATTTCAGAATTGATCCGTTTTTATATTGCTTGCTTCCAATAAATTTCTTATTTTCGATTAAAAAAAACATTATTTGACTCATTTTTTTTGCAAAATAGTAGTATTTTTGGCACAAAACAATTTTCTTCTAAAAGAAAAATGAGCGATTGGGGACCTAAAAGCTCAGACTTGCGCCGTTTTTCTAGTTCTTTGATTTTATCCCAATAAAATTCATTCGAGTAACGTTCAGCGTAAAAAGTAATTTGGATTGAAATTTATTTTACAGATTGTTCAACCTCTCGATTGTTGATATTGAAGAATTTGATGGAAGCGTTTCCGAATTTCTTTCAATTTTTCCAGCCAAAACACGAAATTTCTCAAAAGTTGCAACTGCTCAAAATCTTTGTAAATTATTTTTGTTTTCATATTTTTTGATTTAAGATTATAAAGTAGTTTTGCAATTTGGTTGACTGAAAATTTTGAATTGACTCTTATGAATCGTTCCATTGCATTTTTTGTCAATTTTCCAAGTGTCGAATTTATCAACTAAAAACCCAACATTTTCAGTACAACTTTTTTTCTTGCCTAAAACAATGTTAGCTTTAATTCTTATTTTAATCATAAGCATTCGAAACCTAAAACATTTTCTGTGTGCTTTTTTGTGTAATAAAACACAAGTAATGAATGTTTAAGCAAACAAATTCAAATATGAAATCAAGGCGCTAAAAACTGTCAAAATCACATTTGCTTGAATTTATACAATTCGTCATCCTTTCAAAAACATTCATCAAACATAAATTTTGCGTACTGCGCCAGAAAACGCAAATAGGGGGAGTTCTCTGAAGTGAAATATGTATTTTCAAACTTCTTTCAATCCGTTGTTTTTCACGAAACTTACCGACAAGCAATTCCAATGAACACAGCAAGGAATTAATTTCAGTTTTCAAACTGTAAATTTAAAGAGTTTTAAATCCTGTATTCCAGTCAGAGCGCATATTGCTAAAAACAGCCATCTTCAAACGTGTTCGGTTTTTCGATCGAAAACTTTGTCGTTTTCTTTGCTTGCACTCCTTTGGGCTGTTGCGAAAGAGCAATTCGATTACATCTAATTAAGGTAAATCTGACATTGTCGTTCCATCCGCAGATTAGCATCAACTAATTAAGTTTGTGTCTGCCTTTGTTAAAACCTATTATCGATTAGTCTTAGGAAATTTTCTTGCCCGGAAAATGCTGTTCCGGAAATTACCATAATTCACGGGACTATTTGCGTGGAGCCATCCAGCGATATCATTCAGGGACGGACGGGAGCCGCTTTGTCCTATTCTTTGCCAACATATTTCACATCGAGTAAATGGATTAATTTTTGGCAAGAAATTCACTATTAACCCATTTCGAGTACATTTCATTAAATTGCATGTTTCGCGGTTGATACCGAAAAAATTCTTCATTGGTCTTGGAAACGCTCTAATGCTACACAAAAGATGATCTCGATCTCGCTCATCACTACCCTACACTAACAACACTGCTCTAGACGTTCCCTTTTATTTGGTTTTAAAAAATATTTTAAAATAACCGGAAAACTTTTAAACAATTGAACAGGAAACGAGGCAAAAGCTGTAAAAGTTTACAAGATATACAAAAGTTGCGCCTGCAAGCTTCGAATTCCATTTTCTCACGTTATTTCCAATGTTTCTCCATTGCAAATTGGCAAAAACGTGCACTGCATTGATACAAAGAAGCACTTTGAACAAAGAAAGCCATCAAATTTACTCCAAAAGGAATTGATGTTCTTTTTTCGTATATATTGTGTAGCTCGGTACCAAATTTGCATATTCCATACACCAAAACAAAGCCAACGACAAATTCGATTAAATCAATTTGGAAATGTAACTCGCACATGAGGAATTTTAAAAGCGACTGCAGCTCTGTCCTCGGTCGCGATATTATCAATTAATTAATGCCGTCATTAAATGAAAAGCAATTTTAAATACAACGCTATTTGTCCCCAAAATTCACCATTTAGAGTTCAATATTGAAATATGAATGTTGTTGCTGGAAATGGATTTGGACTGAACGTGCCTGGAGATTCGGGAGAATTTTCATTTAATTAACGTCAACCGGAGGTGGGCGGTACTGAACTAGAAAACATATCTAAGATCAAATTGAAACGTGTTTTCTTTAGTCGTATTGTTTTATTAATTAATATCAGTAATTACATTGCGAGGAAAATAAGTCTACTAATCCATCCGCAATGCACAAAAACTATAAATGTGATTATTTGAGTTGAACTTGCGGTTGGCGCTGGACGAAATGCAGCGACACCTGCGCTTAACCACGGCTTTATTTTCTGAGGGCAAGGGGAGAGCGGTGTGTTGTGCGGGTGCTTGAAGGGGCGCACAGAACACGATTGTGTATTCGGGATTAAATAATAATTAAGTGGTAGGTTGTTATTCTTGTCTACAGTACTTGAGTGGTTTGCGCTTGATGTTCTTGGCATATTAAACAGAAAAAAAAACATGTTTTTATGGCAATATAACGTTGAAAACCTAATTACGGCAGATTTTCTTATTTGCCTAAATCCTGCAAAACTACAGTTTTAGTTCTGTTTCAGCAAAGCTTGGATTATAGCTGGAAGGGCTGGATACAATGTAAAACAAAAATAATTTCCATAAAAGCAAGAGCGGCAAAATTGCTGTTTAATGATCTGGCAAGTCCTTCGGATGACGCGTTTTGCCCTCGAGTGCGTCCAGGCAGGCCGACGTCGAGTCATCATCAGGGCGCCGCAGATCGATGGCGGCGTCTCCTGGCAACGCGCCGCGCTTCTGACGACGTCGCGACGCCGGCCACGCGCTGTTGCCGCGTGCCTCGCTTTTGTTTATTTATCGGCCACCGTTGTTAGTTTGTTCCCTGATATTCAATTTTCTGCCAGGTGTGTTTACTTAATGCTCGATCTATACTAATGGGTTTGCAATATATTAATGTTGCCGTTGGAAGTAAACGCCCGAGTAAATTGCGTTAAAAAAATTAATGTTGTTTGAAAGGGAAAATTTTACTTTGTACTTTGCCTTGGGTATATTGGCAAAGATACGTGATTGGAAAGTGGCGTTTATTGTAAAATATATTGCCGAAAACCCGCTAAATATAAAGGGTGTTTTTTGGACGAATCAGAAAGAAATTGTTCAGAATTGCAAAGTTTTTGCTTGCAGCGGCGGCAGTATCATCAATATAGAGAACCTCCTTCCCGACACTACAAGCAGGTGTTTTGTATTTTAGGCTCAAATTCGGTTAATTGTTTGTAAGAACCACGGATCGCAATCTTGCAAACATTTGGTAGATACGTATTAAACAGCAAGCACATGCACACAAAAAAGTTTGTTGTTTTGCAAAAAACATTACAAGTTTTGAAAGTGTCACCCTGTATGTGCCTTCTGAATCGGGTTCAATTTGCGCATTCTTCTCCACGAAAAAATCGCCGTTATCCGGCCATTGAAAAGACATCCATTTATCTCTCGCCACATTCGGCGAGCAATAAAAACTAAACGAAACATATAAAAATAAAAAATTACTTGCATTCGAAAGGAACATGAAATTGTGGGCTGAAAAATCGGATAAGGACCAAGGAAAAATCGGCAACATGGTTCGAGTTCAGTGGGGCGAACGACATTTATGTATCTCTAATGGACAATTGTTATGAAATATTGGGAAATTTTATTTATAGAGCTTTTAGGTGTTAATATGTGGCATTGATTTAAGCAGATTATGCGGCTTGATAAATTTTATAAAATAATGCAATAATGGCACGATCCAAAACAATGCAGTTGGTGCAATGTGTCTGAAAGGATTTAGTCGAATGGAACAATTGTTTAGAGCAGTCGGATGTCGGGATTACAAATGTTTGCGATCCAAGAGTTTAGTTTGCGTTTTTTGAATCAATTTGGTTTCTGACTGAAAACAAAATGAGCTAATTACATGGTTTTCAGCCTCAATTGTGGGGACGAATGAAACCTAAGTTAAAGAAGATCATCTTCAGCAACACTTTAATTGGTGGTTAAATTGTAGTTGGTAGTTTACATGGTTTAGAATGGGGTTCTTCACCAAAAGAAAGTTAAATTAACGCTGAAAATGCCAAGGATTTCACATTCGCTTTTTAAATTGAGATGGTGGAAAAAGGTTGAGTCAAGTAGAAAATGGTGTCGACTTTACAAGAAACGAGGAAGAAATGCCGGAGAACCAGGCATTGAAAACAAAAAAGTGATGTTTTAAAACCCAAAAAATTTCTGATCTTCTAAACGATTTCAGCTGGCACTCTATAGGAATTACAAGCCGAATAATATGAAATTTGCAATTTTAGCACTTTCGCACCAGACAAATTTGCCCGAAACGCAATGATTTTGCTTAAACAACATGTGAGTGAATTTTGTCACATTAGTACAGGTCCATCCTGTATATACAATTGTTTACACGGGCCAAACCTAAGTTGATCTTCTTCGCCAACAATTTAGTTGGCCGTTAAAATTATTGCAAAAATTTTACTCCACTCCACTTTAAACTTTGAGATCGAGGAAAAGAGTGTCGACTTTGCAGGAATTGAGGGCTTTAAGGGGATTTCATAGAGAATTTGCTATAAATTTCTTAGTTAAATTGTTAGCTCTTTGCAAGTGTTTGTTTTGTGTTAAATCGTAAATAACTTTAACCAGTCTTTTGTTGGAAGGAACATTTTGTGAAGAAATCAAAAGAAGGTTTTTCGACATATCGTAATAACAAGCAGGATAAAACTCTAAATAGCCCAAAACTATGGACCAGAAGAACATTCTTAACATATTGAAAAAATTCAAGAAAGTTTGCATATTTTCGCGTTTCTGAGAGGAAAACATTATTATCAGAAATAGTTTTGCAATTTTTCTGTTCAAATTTTCGCTCATTTCAGTGCATTAGACGTTGTCACTGTTGTAGGTTTCACCTGTTTTACTGCTTTGCCGGATTCTATCGCTCTTGGCTAGTAAATTGCTGGATTTGTGTAGAAAACGCTGATTACCAAAATACAAATATTTACCGGTGCGGGCTTCATTAGAGTTAAAGCCCCGAATACGGAGTTTTTTCAGTAATTTATTAAACCATCTATATACTTGGGTACACGATCATTTTTGCTTGCTCTATTTTGCGTGTAAGCCTTAACACAACAGGGCTATTTAAAAAAATAAAAATTTTGGTAAAAATCTGGGGAATTGAGGAAGCCATATCCCATCTATTCACACAATGATTGTAAAGTTACCAAAACCAGGTCTTACTTGAATTTCAAATTTCTGTAAAAAAAATTTCAGTCACTTGAAATTTGTGTCTGTTTTCCATTCAATATAAATAAAAAAAATGCAATTCCACACTTACAACATTTTAATAACAAAATATTGAACGTCACAATAAAAGAACAAAACAAAACTTTATCGCCTCAAAAACTAATCTTGAATTAAAACCTATCAAGCACTGGCGACTTATGCGTGATTATTTCACCGCTCCTGCGGCCACTTTTCCAAGCCTCAATGTCTTCCTCCCTTTGCCTACTGCTTACAGCCTCTATTTGAACGATTGAGCTGAATCAGTGGCCAACATCTTCGAAAAATGACTGTTCTTGTTCTCGAGCAAAGTCATCGGATTCTCAAACTCAATGATCTCCCCTTTATCCATCACAATGATTTTGTCGCATTGCAACACTGCCTGAAGACGATGAGCGATGATGAACATCGTGCAATCGGCGAAATGAGCATCTATGGCTTGTTGAGCCAAAATTTCCGCATCCGGGTCCATGTTGGCTGTGGCTTCATCCAGAACAACGATTTTGTTCTTTTTGATAATCGCCCTTGCCAGACAAATCAACTGTCTTTGACCAGTTGAGAAATTCGAGCCGTGGTCAGTGATGGCAAGCTCCAAGGTGTGAATGTGGTCCTTCATGTGCACCTTCTCCAAGGTACTCCAGATTTCGTCGTCAGTGTAATTGTTGTAAGGATCGATGTTTTGACGAATTGTGCCTTGGAACAGAAGGGGATCCTGAGGAATAATTGAAATCTTCCCTCTCAAGTAATCCAAAGCGATGGTCTTTGTATCCACACCATCAATCGATATGGTGCCTTCAAAGTTATACAACCTAAACAACGTGGATATAATCGAAGATTTCCCTGCGCCAGTTCTTCCAACAATGCCAATCCTCTGATTCGGCTTGATATCGAACGAAATATCCTTCAAAACCTTCTCGGATTTATAAACCAAGGACACTGCCTTATAGACAACGTGGCCTTTAGAAGGCCACTCAACCGGCTTCTGGCCTTCATAGTGATCCTGTTCAACAGCGCTGTACTCCAACACTCGCTCAACTGAAGTCATGTCGTTTTCCAGATCGGACAATTGCATTAAAGCCCACTCAACCAACCCGGCCAGCATGGAGGCTTTGGTGAGGGCCAAACCAACATCACCACCACTTTCACCTGCAAATGATTAAGTTCCTAAATTGAACCAGCTGCAGCGCTTCGCATCTACCTGAATTGAAGAACAAAATTTTCGCAAGAATAACGGCAATAAAGCTGGAAGAAACCACTTCCATGAAGAAAGCAAACGCTCTTTGGATGCAGAATGTCATGTAATGGGCCGATGTGTAGAGATCTTGGTGCCTATCGAATTCCTCCACTAGTAATGCTTGGGCTTTGAAAGCTCTTATGGTGGTAACGCCTTCCATCGTGGCATTCAAATGGCCAATAAGTGGGCTGCGAGCTAGACGAAAATGTACTTTATAAAATTCACCGGTTTTCCAGGACGATTCTTTGAAACATCCAGTACTAAATTTAGTTAACAACGATGAAGAAAGATAAGCGCTCTTTAAACAAAAGAACCCGATTTCATTGTTCTGTGCCCTCAACCTTGATTGCGCTAAGTTATTTTTACGGTAATCTAACAAGGACGCGCTTTCTAAGTGTAATTGTTCCTGCTGAACAAACACAAATATTTTGAAGCACTAACTTGCTGATTCAAGTCGTTTCAAACTTCTAGCTGCTGGAATATAAAATCTTTGCAGGAAAATCATCAGTACCACTAAAACGCCTGCTGGAATCAGGAATCTCCAGTTAATGGAGGAAACCAGACCTACCACACCACCGACAGAAAGGACAATCTGAAAATAAATTAAATAAAACGTATTGAAAATAATTCGGGACTTTTTTTACTATGTACATTTTATTATAATTAATATTTCCTTTAGTTTAATAAATGTGCAAATAACACAAAAAAATTAATAAGGAGTAACAGTTCATTGGGCGGGATGGGAAGGCAGATTTTTATGGCTCAGAACACGTAAGTTTTAAGAGGTTTTTAAACTTTATTTTAAGTTCCGATCTTTAAAGGCCTGCGTCTGATTTCATATGGTCTCAAACACCCTGTATATGAGTATCGGAAAGCTTCTTGGCTCGAAAAATATTCATTGAGCTCAAAAAACGGGCATGTGAAAATTTGGTCTAAAGAATCCTCCTTTACTTTTTACAAAAAAATAAAATCGTCCTAAATGTCTCGAATTATACATTATTTTCATCGGAGAAAAGTGTGAAATTCATTCAGCACAAAGACAAACCTGCCGGAGCGCTGTAAACCGAACTAACTAAAAAAAATTGCCAGTTTCGTACTGTATTGAGCCCCCCTTCACGGATGACGAATCTGAATAAATGAATAATAATTTTGCATCTAAATTTACTTTTAATTTATGTCTTTTTTGTGCAACCAAGACTAAAATTAAGTTTTCTAATTTGCTTTCATCGTTCTATTCGCGTATCTTGATGCAACCGCGTTTTTTTAACACATTAATTTCAGCGAGGTTCTTTTGAAAACTTGTCATTTAAAATGGGAAAAGGGTGGAATTTTTTTTTTTTTAGTCCGACGCCGGTGGTTTTGGAAAAAATGTTTCTTGATTTTTTCAATTTAAGCGCTTAAGCTGTTTTTTAACACATTTTCGCAGGGTTTCTCTTCGCAGTCCGTGAAAAGTTAGTTCAATTCGTGCAAATAGTGAGGATTTTGTGGCAAAATTTCTGGGTTTTTGGCGAGTTCTTGGATCGAAATGTTGCAATTTACATTTGCTCTCCAGCACGTTTCGGCAGGTTTTGGTGAAATGCTCATAACACCAAATCAGAAAAAGGTAAAAGCACCGTTTTTACACCATGATGTGGAGCGCAGCAGTGCGAGAAGTGTCGATTTGGTAGCGCTTTTTGGCGATTTTTCGAATTTGAAACAAAATCTTTTCTTACAACCCACTTTAGCACATTTTCTCGAAGTAATGAAAGTAGAAGCGCGCTGTTTGTGCTTTTTGGTGCAGAAAGTTCTTCTTTATATCTGTAACCAAACTGTCGGTTTCGTTTCATTCTGAATTTTGTCGGTTTTTGCCGATCGGATTTAGAGATTTAGATATTAGAAAACTGATTTTTTCTTCCAAAACTTGTCGGTAGGTTTTCTTTAAAAAATCATTACACTAAATCCGGCGCAGGTACAAGCGCGCTTTTTGCACCATTATATAGAGACAACTTTTCTCTATCAATACGAGGGATACCAATTGGATAACGAATTTGCTCGGTTTTTGGCGATTTTTTCAATATGACTGTTGAAACTGAAATTTTTCTTCCAGCACATTTCGGCCGGCGTTGTTCAAAAATCATCACGCAAAATCGAACAAAGGCATTCGCGTGCTTTTTACACCATTGAATAGACAACATTTCTCTACGAGTGCAGGAAGTATCGATTTCGAGGCAAATTTGTCAGCTTTTACGTGATTTTTTGGACTTGAACTACATTTTTCTTCCAAAACATTTCGGAGGTTTTGTTCAAGAAATCATGACGCAAAATGAGAATAAGATAAAAAGCGTTTTTGGGGCATTGGATAGAAACAAATTTTCTATATCAGCGAAAGAAGTTGGATTTGGGGAGAAATTTGCGGTGTTTGGCAATTTCATAAAATGCCCAAAAATTCAAAATTTGTCGCCAAAACACATTTCAGTAGGTGTTTTTACTTTGTCACGTAAATTGGAACGGGGATAGAAATGTTTTTTTGCACGACTAGATAGAGAAACGTTATTTTATTAGCGCAACTATTGATTTGGGAGGAAATTATCTGGGATCTTAACGTTTTTAGAGACTGAAATTTGAAACATCAGCGTTTTTTTTTTCGATGCAATTCAACAAGTCATCTGCACGCAAAATGTGAAAAAAATGGCGCTTTTTTTTCACTTCATTTTAATCGACAATACTGTGTGCTATTTGCCGGACAAGTTACCATTTGACCGTCAAATTCTTCAATTTTTGACGATTTTTTGAATGTGAGTGTTACAGTTGCATTTTTTCTTCAAATACCTCATGACACATTTTTTTCTTTAATTTAGTCAGGCGAACTGAAAAATACGCAAAAACTGTTTTTTTGCCATTGAATGGAAAATACTTTGTTCTATCATATCCACAAGTGTCGATTTCTTGCAAATTTCTCCGATTTCCTAAATTTGAAAGTTGAATCCCTTGCAAAACGCTTTGTAAATTTACAAAAGCTGCAGCTTAAAACTGTCAAACTTAAAAATTTTCGGCTGGAAAACAGAAACCAACTAACTATAATACAAGAGCACTTCTAAAAAATAGCCCATTTCTATAAGCGAAAACTTGACAAAAACTAAAAAAAAAACTGTAACCAACAACTTGTTTGTAACCGGCAACTGAAATTGTTGTTGTACTATTAAACTAACCGCATCCAACCAAACAAGTAAATTATTAGAAAACTTTTCGACAACCAACAAACCAAGCTTACTTACCCTCGTAAAGTGATTGATTGTATGCGGTAAATGCTCATCAATTTTCGTCAAGTCCTGCGAAAATCTGTTCAAAATGTTGCCTATGAAGTAATTATCGTAGAAGCTCATCACGGCAGTCGTCAGCTTCTCTATCATCTCGTTATGCAGGTTAATCGAAGCTTTCCGAGCGAAATTTATGAACAGACCCTGCTTGATCAGGTCTAGAACTACTGAGGCAGCGATCATTGCCGAGTAGACTCTTAACGTCCAATTCGCTTTATTTGTTAGTTTTTCTATGGTTTCGGCATACATTGTATCGTTTGTGGCGTGAGCTTTGGTGTTGGTGGCATTTTGTTCGATGTTGATCCTGCAACATTAATTCTGAAGCGTGAGGGAGTTTGACTATCTAAAATACTCACCAGTTAGTTAGGAGTCTTTCGGAATAGCTGTCTGAAAACTCCGACCCAACAAATAGAACGACAATGGCAGAAAACACCAAAAATCCACCGCCAAAGGCAAAGTACTGGCGGAACACTGACCAATCGACTTTTCCAGTTTTCTTCACTTCGCTGTAAACCTTCTTCTTGGGTGTTTCTTGCGGCTTCAGTAGTTTGGACTCTTCCGTGGCGGTGTCGTTTTCGTTTACCTCCTTTTTTTCTTCATTCAGTTCCTCCAGTTCGATTTCCTTGATCAGGTCGACTCTGGCTTCTGTCGGTTTGCCGGAATACTTGATTTCCCCTTCCTTCATCACTATTAACTGATCGGCGGTGTTTTTGTGTCTCAAATTGTGGGTGACCAAAACAACAAATTCCCCATTGAGGAACTTTTGGATGCAGTTCTGGAAAATGTAGTCTTGAATGTTGGGGTCCAAAGCGTGAAGAGGATCATCAAGCAAGTAAATTTCGCTCTTCTTATATACAGCCCTGGCCAGGTTAATTCTTGCCTGCTGGCCTCCACTCAAATTTATGCCTCTATCAGCCACGATCGTCTCATCGCCTTTTTCAAACATGTTGAAGTCGTATTGAAGAGCGCAAACCCTAACCACTTCGTTATACCGGTCCTCATCAAAAGGCTGTCCGAAAGTAATGTTTTGTTTGATGGAAGAAGGGAAGAGCCAGGGATCTTGAGAACTATAGGAAAAGGTTCCTCTCGTGTAAACCTTCCCTTCGTGAACCGGGAAGTCTTTGAGGAACAATTTGAGGAGAGAGCTTTTGCCGCAGCCCAGAGGCCCAGTCACAATCGTCAATCCAGGCTGGAGCTTCAAGGAAACGTTCCTCAAGATCACTTCCTTTTTCAGTTTCACTGTCGCTCCGCTAAGCACGACTTTTGGTTTATCGTAGTCTTGGTTGTCGTTCTCGTTCAACTCCTCGCTCATGAGGATTTTGTTGATTCTTTGGGTGGAGGCATAGATCTCGGCTCCCCTTCCTAGTCCCATAGGGATTAGCATGATGATGGAGCGCTTAACATCGCCGAAACACTTCATGACGTAGAAGATGATTTCTGCATCGGCTGTTTTATTCACTGCGATGTAAGTCATGATGAGCGCGTAGAAGCCCACTTTGGAAGTTACCAGTCCGGCAATGAAATTGGCTGAACGGAGATACATGGATTTCATCAAGTAGCTCATTTCCAATCTGGAAGTTTTAGGGAGAACTCAATATTTTATTCAGAGGGTTTTAGATCGAAAGTTTTACCGTCGTTTTTCTTCGACTTTGGCGGAAAACACTTTTTCCCAAGTGTACATTTTGATGATTTTTATTGCCGATAGGGTTTCCTGAGTGGCCTGCAGTCGCTGATCGGTTTTCTCGGACAAATCCAGACGCAGATTCTTAATGCACTTTGCGATGTAAACTGGAAATGATTAGTTAATTTGCAACTTATTGAACAATCAATTGGACCCAACTTACTCTGCACTGGAACGATGGTAAAAAGCACACCAACCCCCACCAATCCAGCCCATCCCATTTTGTTATAAATCAAAAACGAGACAACAGCTAATCGAATAATTTCAATCCACACATCATTGAACAGCATAATGTTGCGTTCGAAGATCATCACATCTTTGGTGATAACTGTGATCACATTTCCCAAGCTGATTTCGTTCATGGCTGTTGGTGTGAGCTTTAGAGCTTTGCGATAGACCAACGAGCAGAAAGCGGTTCGCATTCTGATGGAAATTTGCTGAATGTAGATGATATAGTTCTGCATAAACGTCCCGTGGAACATACGGAGCCCCACTTTGAGAGCTCCGTAGAAAACAGCATCGTTGAAAGTCATGCCACTGTTGCCCATGGGGTTGAAGTAGGATACCACTTTGGAGATTGCAAGGGGTTCGAGGATACTGCAAGATCAGCGGCTTTATTAAGCTTCAAGTTGCTAGTGGATGTGTTACCTGTTGACTAGCTTCCAAGTGAGATTTATCACCCCGAGGAATAGATATTGCCAGCCGAAACATTTCCATAGTACAGGGATTAAGGAGCTTTTGCCGCTCTCTCTTCGTTTGCGCCAGATTTTCTCAAACTCATCGCCATTTTTCTTGGCTTCGCAAGTCTCGATCACCTCGTATATGTCATCTTCTTCCAAGTCTTTTTTCAGAGACTTTTTGAACAGGCACCCAGTATATCTAGGGACAACAGGCACTATTTTCTAAATACAGATAGTTGTGAAACTAATAGGTTTTTTGGGTTTTTAGGCCGTCGCAAGTGGTTTGCTTGAACGCTTTCACTATTCTGATGAATAGTGTATACGAGAAAAATTAATCTAGGGGGTTTAGCACGCTTTTTTGGCTAAACACTCTGTATATTAACTATAAATTTCGTAAAGCGACGAGGCAGTGAAGAAATTCTAGAGCGATTCAAACGTGCAAATAGAAACTTTTAATGCCACTTTATGGAGCAAAGACATGAGAATTGCATCAATAATAAAAGCAACCTACTGAGTGTAGCTAAAACTTGCCGGATTGTTAAGTTAAGTAAAATAAAGGTACTATACACCAAGAAGCTTGGGCAAAAAAAATAATGAAAGTGAAAACTAAATTTTTAATTAAATGGGATCAATAGAAAGAGTACCTAAAGTGCCTCATTGGCATAATCGAGTCTTTCAGTGTGGCTTTTGAACCTCTGCTGCATGAAAGAAACACGAATGTAACCAAGAGCAAGCAAATTTAACCCTAAACCTTAAAAATGAGATTAAAGAAATATAGGAAAATATCAAAAGGAAAGTAGAATATCCATCAACCAAGATCTGAGCTCCTAACCGAAATTGAATAAACCATTGTTCATCTCAAACGTTAAAATAATTGTTTGCATAAATGTCTGTCTTTTGACCTGGTATTTGCAAAAAACAACATTATGCAAGAAAAATGAAGAAATATCAATGTTAATTGAAGATAAGCGACAATCTTTTTAAATTGAAAATTCAACCTAACAGTTACTAAAAGCGTCTACATTTGCTCTCATCATTTCTACAATATTTACCCTGATAGATATACTAATCTCTGCTATTGTTCATATTTGTTTCTTACTTACTTGACGTCTGTTTCTAGGAAAGTTTTCACTTTATTGATTTCACGCAATTGAAATTCTTTAAAGAAAATACACTAACTTTCAAAAGTCTTGATCCCCCCTCTGTATTTACTAATTAGTATTTATTGGCAAATAAAAGATACTCGTTTACAAGCAAAGGAACTGATTGGATTTCCAAAAAAAAATTGTTTGCTCCTTTAAATTGTGATGCTGCAAAAATTGCACCTTTATATTGATCATTAGCAGCCGGCATTAGTATCCGAATCGTGCAAGAACCGTGTAGCATGCCTAGAAACGAGTTGTCAGCTTTTGATAGGACTAGAATTATTCCTCTGTAGCAAGAAGGCACAATATGTCCACTAGGCTGAACTTCCTTAGAAGCACAGTTAGCAGGACAATTAGACGCTATGAAGAGACTGGTCAAGTGAACAGCGGACCTCGAGGTGGTGGTCCTCACGTTACCACGATACGAGAAGATCGCTATATTTCCCAATCAGCAGTATGATACCAAGTGCTACTATCCGCAGAAGACTTTTACCATCAGGATTGCGGTCTAGGAAGCCTTTAAGATTTCCTTTGTTAACTCATCGCCACCGAAGGGCCCGTTTACAATGGGTACAAAATGTTCAAAACTGGCGATTGGCAGAGTGGAAAAATATGCTCTTCACCGATGAATCGCGGTTTGGATTGGTCAGCGATGATCACCGAGTAAGAGTTTTGAGAGAAGCAAAACACCGAAATAGGGTTGTAGATAAGTTCTATATTGTTGAGGCGGATTCATTTTTTTACAAACATCTTTTTGGGTATTTTGCCTCAAAAATTTCTGTCTTTAAAAAAAGACAGAATTTCCTCTACGTCTTTTATTACAGATTGATAAATAGTGCTCCTATTTCTCAATAAGAACGAATTATTTATGAAAAAGTAATCAAGAACTATCACCTAGAGGGTATCCTGCGACACACTTAGGCTCAAGCTGTAAGAGAAAATTC